AAGAGAATTTGGAACTCAAGATTTTTTAAAAATGCATGTTAAAAAAATTTAATGTAATTGGGAAATATTTAGCTAAATAAATAAAATATACACACATACAGACATATGTGTATATGTCTGCATGTGTACATGTGTGTATATAGCTACGAGGCTATTACTCATATTGTTGCCCTCCTTTTCTTCTCCTTATCTTCTCTTCCCTTCACCCTCCCCACCTTTTTCATGAAGCAACCCCTTCCCCAATTGGCTTCTCTTAATGCTCAAGGGGATGTGTGTAAGGGTGGGTGGAAGGTCCTGGGAGTATCAACACCTTTGATTATGCCTGAGATGTGTATGTTGGTAGGATCATCTTTAAGAGTGAGTGTCTGTGTTGGTGTCTGGATGTATGTATGGGTGTGTGTGTTCGGGGTGAATATGTGTTGGCCTGCTATTTCAAGGCTGCTCCTGCCTGGGGCTTTCTATGTGTGTATACGTGCACACGCACACACACACACACACACACACAGATATATATAATATAATATATTATATATATATATATGTATATATCCTGGTTGTTCAGTACAATCTTGTGCATCCACTTTGATCTCTGAAAGTTCCCCTATTTCCAGCTCATTAGAATACTATCTGCCAGTTTCTTCAGAATTTCATTCTTTTTTTTAAATTTTATTTTATTTTAGGCAATTGGGGTTAAGTGACTTGCCCAGGGTCACACAGCTGGTAAGTGTCAAGTGTTTGGTCTGAGGCCGGATTTGAACTCAGGTCCTCCTGATTTCAGGCCCAGTGCTCTATCCACTAAGCCACCTAGCTGCCCATCCAGAATTTCATTCTTGAGAACTTATCATTCTTCCTGAACTTACTTCCCCTATGGAAGTATCATATCTCTCCTTTCTATGAATGATTTAAAAATATGCTCTCTCAATTTATAGGGAACTATGGATTTCCTACCCACAAATGTTGTATATGTTGTAATGTTTTTGTAATATTGGTATTGTCAGACTCGGCTGGTTTTTTTAAGCTGCTTTTTAAAGCTGATTTTTCTCTCTCTTTTGTTTTTCATTATAAAAGGTGACTATCTGGAGAAAGGAGATGGGAAGGCTATATTTGGAAATTAAGGTGATATAAAAAACTATCAATACAAAAAAAAACCTTTCTAATAAGCTCTCTCAAAATCTTAGGAGCATGTTAGATCATAATCAGTTTTCCTCTCCTTCATTATCATGATTACTAGGATGTAGTTATGTCTCTTCCCCTAAAACTTTCTCCTTTTTTCCATAACACAAAGTTACTCCTTGATAGTGGTAATTAGATCCAGAATGCTTCCTCAAACTTTTGAAGGATTAAATTATCATCAAAGCAGGTCTCTAGTCTACTCCCCAATAGCCCTCTAACTCGGATGCTATGAGGCTACTGCTCATTGCTGTGTGCTGTAAGACGTTTGGCCAGCTCTCATAGATCATGTATTTGATAGATGCTTATTCTATACCCTTCCTTGTGACAGGCAAGGTACAGATGACAGAAAGGTGGGAGGAATAATTGAGAAGGGAATCAGGATCCAAAAAAAGATCTCTATAAAAGGTGATTCCTGCCTTCCCTGAGGGAATTTCCTCATATATACGGTATAAACTTCAGAAGGTAGGAGATTAGGCCAGATGATTCCCACCTCTTAGAGCTTATGAAGTTCATGAGGGTAATAAGGTCTTCTCTGTGAGCTCCTCCCAGGGTGGGAGAGCCTAATATCAAGATTGAAATACCTGTCCTGTGTGCATTCCTAGCCCAATGACTCCAGAGAGCCTCTTTGGCTTAGGATTCTGAGGTTGTGACTCTTCTGGAAATAGAGCCTGGAATACCTAGCTCAGAGGCTCTTTTTTATATCGTGGATTCTTGTGGCAGTCTGGTAAAGCCTATGGAGCCCTCAGCATGATGCTTTTAAACACATAAAATAAAATACATTACAAGGGAAAACCTAGCTGTACCAAATCTCAAACTATCATAAAGCAGCAATCATAAAAACAAATCTGGTACTGGCTAAGAAATAGAGTGGTGGATCAGTGGAATAGATTAGGTATACAATACAGTGTAGTAAATGATCATAGTAATTTAGTGTTTGATAAATCCAAAGATCCAAGCTTTTGGGACAAAAATTCATTATTTGACAAAAACTGCTGGGAAAACTCAAAAATAGTATGGCAGAAACTAGATATAGACCAATATCTCACACTGCAAACCAAGATAAGATCAAAATGGTGTATGCTTTAGACATAAAGGGTGATACCATAAATAAATTAGGAGAGTATGGAATAGTTTACCTATCAGATTTATGGATAAGGGAAGAATTTATGACCAAACAAGATATAGAGAGCATAAATATAGAAATATAAACCTGGATAATTTTGATTATATAAAATTTAAAAAGTTTTGCACAAACAAAACCAATGCAACCAAAATTAAAAGGAAAGCAGAAAACTGGGGGAGAAAATTTTACAGAGTATCTCTGATAAAGGCCTCATTTCTCGAATATGTAGAGAACTGAGTTAAATTTATTAGAATACAAGTCATTCCCCAACTGATAAATAGTTAAAGGTTATGAACATGTAGTTTTCAGAAGAAGAAATAAAAGCTACTTACAGTCATATGAAAAAATGCTTTAAATCACTATTCATTAGATAAATGCAAATCAAGACAACTCTGAGTACCACCTCACACCTATCAGATTGGCTAATATGACAGAAAAGGAAAATGATAAATGTTAGAGAAGATGTGGGGAAATTGGAACATTAACGCATTGTTGGAGTTGTGAACTGATCCAATCATTCTAGAGAGCAATTTGGAACTATGCCCAAAGGGCTATAAAACTGTATATCCTTTGATCCAGCAACATTACTACTAGGCCTACACACCAAAGAGATAACAAAGGGGGAAAGAACCTATTTATACAAAAATATTTATAGCAGCTCTTTTTGTAGCGGCTAAGAATCAGACATTGAAGCCCATCAACTGGGGAATGGCCAAACAAGTTGTAGTATACTATTGTAACGGAATATTATTGTGCCATAAGAAATGACAAGCAATATGATTTCACAAAAATCTGTAAAAATTTACATGAACTGATACAAAAGAAGTGAGCAGAAGGAGCTGAACATTGTACACAGTAACAACAATATTGTACAATGGACAACTGTGAATGACTTAGCTATTCTCAGCAATACAGTGATCCCAGAAAATCTCAAAGGACTCATGATGAAAATGCTATCCATCTCCAAAGAAAGAACTGATGGCATCTGAATACAGACCAAAGCATACTTTTTCCTTTCTTTCTTTCTTTTTTCTTTCTAAATGATTAATATGGAAATATTTTACATGATTGCTCACTTTAAAACTATATCAAACTGCTTACTATCTCAGGGAGAGGGTCAGGGAGAGGGGGAAGAAGAGAATTTGGAACTCAAATCTTTAAAAAAAAGTGTCAAAGGAAACCAATTATACTGAAATAAATATGTAAATTTTCCCCATTCAGTTCAAGGACCCCACTCTCAAAATTAATCCATGGACCTGGTGGTCTGTGAACCCTGGTTAAGAACCCTTGCCTCAGATATCTCTATTCACCTCTCCCAACCACCACAGTGCCCTTATCAAGTTTGTCCTTTCAGTCAAGAGTCTTTTCTTTGAACTTCACATTAAGTAATAGGAGTCCTTGGGCCTTAAGGGTCATGTGACGACTATTGATGGTCTTCAGCAAATCAATTTTCCTTTCTGGGTCTCTGACCTCTGAGGGCAAGCCTTTTTCAGGGATGCTCATCCAACCTTGTTGTCCAGCTCTCACCTGTGACTCCAAGAAGCTGTAGCATGCACTGCAGCCACACCCTGGTAAGCCTTCTGGGCAGATGGGCTAAACAAGGTTAAGAGTAATTGGCAAACCCATCTCTAAGCTAGAGGGATGTCTACCACAAGCATGTAAAGACTTCTCCCAGCAAAATGGATGGAGGAGAACAATTTGGTCCAACATCTATGAAGGCAGCTGAAGCAGGCACTGTGGAGAGCGTAGAGTTTGGTCAGACATCAAAAACACCAAGTGATCTACTGAATCCCAGGCCATCGCCAGTCATCCTGACTTTTGTCTTACTACTGGACTTCAATTGACTCAGAAAGAAAGAGTGAGGTTGATGACTTTGAGCAACTCTATCTCACTTAAATCCAATTCACGGGCAAATCAAGATAGCACACTGTGATGTTATTGTTCCTCTTCAAAAACGATGAACGAACAAGGGCCTAGCATGTGCAAAGCATGATAATACAGTCAAGAAGTTTTTATTCTACTGGGGAATGGAGACAAAATATTTACACAGGTTCAGGGATATCAATGTCAGCTCATACAAGCTCCAGAGAGCCTAATGTTAAATTTTCAATGTCAGCATTCACTCCTCAGAAATTGGAAAACGCTACAAATGAGGGCTTGATTTATTCCAGCAACCACTTCTAGAGTCAAGTATTTACAGTAATAAAGCTGAAAAGGACCAATACCAACTGGAAGAGGCCTCAGAAATCATAGCCCAATCCCTCCCTTTTTTATAGAGGAGGAAACTGTGACCCATTAAAAGAAATGACTTACCCAAGTTCACAGTGAATTAGTTGGCCTTCTTGGAAGAAGAGGAAGATGGCCTTCTAAGCTATCATCCCCCTCTCTGTCTCAACCCTCCTGGAATTAGGAAGCTGGAAGAATTAATTTTAGCTCTTACTTCAACATCATTCCACTTCCCTATTTTGTTTCAATAGAAGATCCACCCTTGGAGTTCAGGGAAATGTTGGGGCCACCAAATAGATGCCATTTGGGATTCTGGGTTTGGATTCTGCTGACCATACATACTGGCTCAGTTTGCATGGGTGAGTCCTGAGGTGGCTGGGATAATACAGAGGACAGAAGCCAGTTTGAAACTTAGAGGAATAAAGGAAGAATGGGGAGCAGGCAGAGACTGGGACCTTGATTCTTACCAGTTTTGTGAGGGGCCCTCTAGTCCCAACCTCTAGGCTTCTTGGATATGGGGAATGGGCATCCTGTGAAGGCTAAGAAGGTAAGAGAGGGGCATATAAAGGGAGGTGAGGGATACTGAATTAAAATTACTTTGCTCACATGGCCAACCCTAATTAGGTACAAGGGTGGGATGGCTGGGATTAGAGGATCAGCATGGAATACCTTCCTTTCAGTACCTCTTTATAGCTAGGCCTTGACTCTGGCTAATCCCTGGAAGAAAGTGAGAAGAAAACAATTTCTATCAATTTCCACCCCCCCCCCAACCCTGCCCTTCACAATGCTGAGCCTCAGCAGAACTCAGGGAAGTAGCCAAATCATCATTCACCATGGGGTGGAGAGTGGGGGGATGGGGAGGACCCTTCACCATGAGGCTTTGATTAGATGGGATTCTCAGAGACCTAGAAGTAAAGGCTCCACTCTGGGCAATATTTATCATATCTCCCTGCCCTTCAGTACCTTTCTCTTTCTATGTTAATTTACTTAATTTAATAACTTAATTTCTTGGCTCTAAAAGAAAAATTCTCCGTCTCTCCATCCATCCATCCCTTAGACAGCCATCTCAGATGCCTAGATATCGGCAGGAAGTGAGGGTGGGGAGAAGACAGACACGAATGGGAAGGAGCAGTCGCAAACAGACTTGTGCTCTCCAGGCAAGAGAGAGCCAACAGTTCTGATTACAATCACTCCTCTCATTTTGTCTGTGGCAACAGGTTATAAACTAATCTGAGGAATTTAACTGGGAGGCCTGGCAATTTCTGAGCAAAACTGAGTGGTACAAGAGCATCATACTCAGTCAGGTACTCTTCATTTCAGTCTTACCACTAAATTTCTAGCTGTGACCTTAGTTGAATCATTTCCCCTCTGAAACTCGGTTTGCTCATCTATAAAATGGGGATAATGCTTGTAGTCCATACCAACCAGAACTATTATAAGAAAGGCCCTTTGTAAACCCTAAAGCAACATAGAAAAATAGCATAGTAATATGGTGCAAGGCTCCTTCCAACTCTGAAATTCTTTAATTCCATCAATCAGTTCCATTAATGGAAGAAGCATATAGCTAGGAATTAAAAAACATAGACTTTAGTCCTGGTTCCTCCAAGGCACTCCTCACAGGGCCTCAGGTTTCTTTCTATATCAAGTTGGACTCCATGTAATCTCCAAGACCTCTTCCAGTTTGAACATTCTATGTTTCAAGGCCCCTTCTCGCTCGCTGTTCTACGTCCTATATTCTAAAATCCCTCCCAGATCTAAAATTCAGTTCTGCGTTGTAAGGTCATAACTAGCTCTAACATCCTATGTTCCATACCTTAGGGTCCCTCTCAGCTCTGATATTCTCTGTCTCACAGGACATCATTAATATTCTGTAAAGATTCCTTATTGAATTAGCAGAGGTTTTGGAACATCCAGACTCTTAAAGCTGAATAGGACCATAGAGGCCCTCTAGGACAACTCCCTCATTTGAAAGGTGGGGAAACTGAGAAAGAAAGTGATGTGCCTGGGTCCCATAGTGTTAGAACCAAGACCAAAGTCCAGGTCTCCTGACTCCCAGGTTAGCACCTTTTCTGCTGTTTCCCATTCTGTAAAATGAGGATTGGTATATCTGGGCCCAGAGGATTTTGTTTTGCTTTGTTTTATTCGAGGGGCTTATTTTGTTTGTTTGTTTGTTTGTTTTTAGTGGGGAGTTGTAACCTCAACCACCAGAACCCGAGGTAAGGTAGCACACCTGTGGTTTTGTCCCAGGTAGAGTGGGAAATTTGTGAGAAACGTTACTAAGGAAGGAGAGGCCTTGACAGGATAGTAAAAGAAACAACACACTGGGGTATGTCAAAAAGAAGGTGGAGGCTGTTAAATAAGTTCTAGCCTGGTCTATAAGTAGGAAGAGAAGATCACCCTCATTCTGGCCCTGACCTGGCTAGTCAATCTCCTCAATGTTGATAGGAGGTGGGCACAGGCTTCTAAGCAATAGAACCAGAAAGGCAGGTGAGGACTTCAAACCCTCCTTTGCCCCCTCCCCCAAAGCACTCCCAACCCTCAGTGTTCAGGCTTTTTGGATGCGACAGTGAAGAAACAATGGGCCTTAGCACTTGGTTATCAAGAACAATTAATGAAAATAGGAAGTTACTAGGTGGTGGCTTCAACTTCCTAAGGTGACTGACCCAGCAACAACCTCACAGTGATACAGATTCCTCACCAACGACTGGAGGTATTCCCAGGGTCTCTGTCTCCCCATTAAATGGCAATGTATTTCCCTGCCCCCATCCCCTGATTTGGCCATTCTGAAAGCTTTTCTGGGCCGAGGTATATGACAGTTTCCCTGGGCACAAAAATCCCTAGCTATGACTCTGCCACCTACATCAGTATCACAGTCTCTGCCTCCATCGCTGCTTCTCTAACTCCAACCCAGCAGATTCAGGTGGCCGCAGCAGACGCAGGTTGCCTGCCTCTGACTGCTCCCTTCTCCAGGAATCCTCTTTAAAACATCAAGCTCAACTAGGTAGAAGTTGGAGGGGCAGAGAGGCAACAGGCACTCAAGGAAGGTTTTAGAAAGCTGAGTTCTAGTTTTCATGAAGATGACCTTTGTTTCAAATACAAAGAAAAAGGATGAGGAGAAGCCCAGAATGCACAATGCCAGTCAGTATCTCCCCTAGATGGGCTGGCTGCTAGAAGACATCTTTTAGTGTCTAAAAAAGAATTCCTAATTGGAATTCCTAATAAAATTTACCCCCCTCTATCAATTAATCAATGAATCAACATTTCTTAATCACGTACTATATGCCAGACAATGTGCTAGGTGCTGAGTATATAAAAAGAGGCAAAACAGTACCTGCCCTCAAAGAGCATACAATCTAATGGGAGAAACAACATGCAAACAAATATATATATGAACAAGCTATATATAGGATCTTATATGTAGGGTAAATCCTATACATAGGACAAATAATAAATAATTAACAGAGAAAAGGCACTAGAATTAAGAGGTTGGGAAAGCCTTCTTGTAAAAGATAGGCTTTTAGTTGGGATTTAAAGGAAGCCAGGGACATGGTAGGCAGAGTTGAGGAGGGAGAGTGTTCTAAGCATGGGAGAGAGCCAAAGAAAATGCCTGTAACTGAGAGACGGGGTCAGCAAGGGGGTCAGTGTCACTGGATCAAAGTGTACATGGTGAGGAGCAAGGTATAAGAATACTAGAAAGTTAGGAGGAATCTAAGTTATAAAGGGCTTTGAACATCAAGCAGCGGATTTTGTATTTGATTCTGAAGACAATAGGGAGCCACTGAAGTTTATTGGGGGAAAGAGTTTGATATGATTTAACCTGAATTTTAGGTAAATCATTTTGGTGGCTGAATGGAAGATGGATTGGAGTGAGGAGAGACTTGAGGCAGACAGACCCACCAGTGATGGGGGCCTAGGGGATGGTGTCAAAGGAGAGAAGGGGGCTTATTCAAGAGATGTTGCAAAGCTGAAATTACAGGCCTTGGCACGATATGGAGGTGAGAGATAATGAGTAATCCAGGGTGACTACTAGGATGTGAGGCTGAGGGACTGGGAGTATGCTATTGCCCTCTACAGGAATAGGGAAGGCAGCAGGGATGGGGGGAAAGGGTTTAGGGGGAAAAGATAATGATTTCTGTTCTATTCATATTGAGTTTAAGATGCCTATTGGACATCCAGTTTGAGATGTCTGAAAGGCATTTAGAGATGTAAGACTGGAGGTTAGCAAAGAGATTGGCGCAGAAAAGATAGATTTGAGAATCAGCAGTATAGAGATGGTAAATCAATCCATGGGAGCTGATGAGACTGCCAAGTGAAATAGTACAAAGGGAGAAGAGAAGATCCAGTTAAGAGCTCTGAGGGACACCTACAGTTAGTGGGCATGATCTGGATGAGGATCCAGCAAAGAAGACAGAGAAGGAGCAGTCAGACAAGTAGAAGGAAAACCAGGAGAGAGTAGTGTCCTGAAAACCCAGAGAAAGTATCAAATAGGAGTGATCAGCAATGTCCAAAAATACAGAGGGGTCATGAAGAATGAGAATCGAGAAAATTTGGTTAGTAAGAGATCATTAGCAACTTTGAAGAGAGCGTGTTTTTTTTTTGGTGGAATGATAAGGTCAGAAGCCAGATTGTAAGGGATTAAGAAAAGAAATGAGAGGATAGTGGAGGCGCCTATTGTAGACTGCCTTTCCCAGGAGTTTAGCTGTAAAGGGCAAAAGAGGAAAAAGACCACAGTTAGCAGGGGTGGAAGGATCAAGTGAGGGATTTTCCACTATAGAGGAAACATAGGCATGTTTGTAGGCAGTAGGAAATGAGTCAGTGAAAAGGAAGATATCGAAAATAAGTTAAAGAGTGCTTTAAAGTTTACCAAATGCTTTACAAACCACATCTCTGTGAGTCTGGTATTGTTGCAGTCAAAATAAGGTAAACTGAGGCACAGCATTCTGAGCATGATTCATTTATTAGTAAAGCACAAAATTACCAGTAAATAGGATCTCAGCTTGCTCAGAAAAGCTAAGACTCCAAATGAGGGATATTGATTTCTTTTATAGTTTTGAGAAGCACAAAACAAAGAACAGGACTTTGTAGGTAGGGGACAAGTTATGATTGGTTAAGAGTTCAACATCATGAATGGCAAAATCAATATGATTGGTTACAGATCTGAGACAGGAAGGACAATATGATTTGTTGGAAATTGGGAACTATGGGCTGGCAACAACCCCTTCCTTCCCTTCTGTGACTAAGAAATGTTCATTTTTTGAGTCCACCTGCAAAGTTAGAGATAATGGACCAGACTTCTTTGGATAACAAACCAGACATCCTTAAAGGATAGCTTGGTGGTGTAAAGATACTAGATCAGACTCCCTGGTACCCATCTGCACGCCTCAAGGATAATAGATTTCCTTGAGGCAAGAATAGAACAATGATTAGCAGGAGGACTGGATTTCTAAACTTAACTTATTACAGGCCAGCTGAATTTCTGAACTAAGTTTGGAGACAAAAAGAACCATGACTTGGGGAGTAATAGGACAAAATCAATTAATTGTATATAGGATCAATTAAATCAATTAAAAGGTGATACAGAATCAATCTGATTATTTCAGTATGGAATATGAAATAGACACTAGGCCTAGTAATTGAGGCATATAGGGAAAGCTCAAATAAGGTGGTTTTATTTTCTAACGTAGGTGGGCATTTGCAGTCTTAGAAAGTTTCCTAGAGCCTTGAGAAGTTACATGAGACTAACCCAGGGTGACTCATTCAGTATCTGTCAGGTCTTACTGGTTATAAGAACAGTTCTCTAAACACTATGCCCCATTACTTTGCAGAGATTAGATAGATTAAATATTACAAATCAGACCCAGAAGTAAAAGGGCTTTTTATTTTTACTCCACATGTCCCTAAGTCTTAAAACTTCATCAAATTTCCAACTCCATCTCTTCAGTTACCAAATTATCTTTCTAGCACCTAAAATAAAGATCTCCTTCCTCTCTTCCTCCCCAATCCCCAATGCCTCTTCTCCTTACCAGACTTCGGGGAAATTCCACTTCCAAAATTATAAGGGGAGCAGCAAGGTCTGGGAGTGGGAGTAGACTTAATCCCTATGGAATAGTAGCATAGACACTTCTAGATCAAATGGACCCATCCTCCTATTGGAGTCCAGTGTCTCTTTAGTGAAGTCCTATGTCTCCAAATGGTAGGAATTAAGAGTCCAGACTAGAACCTAGATTTCCTGAATCCCAAGTCATGTCCTTTCACTGCACAACTGCCAGTGTGTTCCTGCCTTCCCCCACTTTATCATCCCCTGTGAACTCTTTTCTGTCCCAGGTACAAAAGTCCAGAAAGACTTTGAGGTGGAACAACCCTGGGGCCCACTGACAGTGATTCAAGGAAGTTCAGCAATATTGCCCTGTGTGCTGATCAATGATGTGTTTGATGGGCATACCAAGTGGTTCAAGGGAAAAGGAATGGGCCAGTGGCTCATATACAGTGAAAAAGACCACACCTCTGCCAGAGCACAGAGAGTGAACCACTCACGTAGGAACATGACCATTCTCATCAGCAACATCACCACCCAGGATGATGGAGTCTACTACTGTGTAAAGTTCCACCAAAATAGTGGGAGTTACGTAGAATATAAGTCTGGGTTAGGCACCAGGCTCTCTGTGGGTAAGTACAAAGCAGGGAAGGACAACATGGTGTACTGAAAAGAGTATTGGATTGCATTCAGAGGACTTGGAGTCCAATCCCAGCTCTGCTACTAATTATTAATGTGATCTAGGACAAAGCAACTCTCTGAGCCTCAGTTTCATCATCTGTCAAATAAATTAAGGGTGGGAAATTGGCTTAGATGTTTTCTAAGGTTCCTTCTACCTCTTAATCCTATCTTCCACTATGAGCTCTGAGTTCTCTGGTCTCATATCCCCCAGACTCTGGCTCCTAGGGATTCTTCTCTCCCAGGCCCTCCTCAGATGATCCATCCCTGGGACAAATGTGAAGCACACAAGGCACAAAGGTCCACTCCCTCTCTCTCTCTGAGAGGCCATATTAGATAGTATTTACAGGTTTGACCCATTTGAGTCCAGAGGGAGAGGCTGTAGAATCATCATGTTGGATAGAACTCCCATTACCTAATACAAGACGTCTTCTAAGAGAGGTTGAATGATCACTCTCTGGTGATACCATAGAGAAGATTCCTTTTCATATATATAGATTAGACAAGGTTACTCCCTCCCCATCTCAAAAGTGGGGCAGCAAGGTGGTGCAGTGGATAGAAGGCTGGGCCTGGAGTCAGGAAGACTCATCTTCCTGAGTTCAAATCTGGCTTCAAAGCACTTACTAGCTGTGTGACCCTGGGCAAGTCACTTAACCCAGTTTGTCTCAGTTTCCTCACTGTAAAATGAGCTGGAGAAGGAAATGGCAAACCACTCCAGTATCTTTGCCAAGAAAACCCCAAATGGGGTCACAGAGAGTTGGACACTACTGAAATAACTCAGCAACAACAATAACATTCTCAGTCTAATTGGAGAGAAAATATTTATGCACATAAAGAAATTTACAACTTAGGTTAAATAATGTGAGTACTTATGATAAGGACAAATAAATTATATAGACAGAACTACAGAAGAGAGAGTTCACTGGATGAGGTCTGGGATGGTCAGAGAAGGTTTCCTGGAGGAAGTAAGATTTGAAGTCAACCTTAGAAGATGGGAAACATTTGGACAGGTGGAGAAAGGCAGGTACAGCATCCTAAATAGTGACAGAATGTGGCCAAAATTTAGGAGGTGGGAAGTTCACAACATGGGATAACGAAGAGATCGTACTAGGTGCATTATAGTGTGCAAGAGTGGAAGTAATGGAGGATAAGACTGGAAAAGTAGATTACATCCACAACATGAAAGATCTGGAATGAAAGGAGATTTATCCTGTAGACAATGGTGAGCTTTGGATGCTTTTTAGTAGGGGGAGACCAGGATCAGGAGGACACATTAGGAAGATGTTTCCAGCAAAATTGTTCAGAGGGAGAGAGCCTTAAGATAGGGAGCGCAATTCATAGGATCATAGACTTGGAGCTAGAAGGATCCATACAGGCCATCTAGGTAAAACCTCTTCATTTTATAGCTGAGAAAACTGAGGCCCAGAGAGGCCATGTGACTTTCAGAGGTCACACAGGTAGAAAGTAGCAGAGCTAGAGCCTCCCAAACCCAAGTCCTTGGGAGGCTTTGAAGTACCAACATAAGGGCCCTGGACTTGGAACCAGACAACAAAAGTTTAAATCAACTCTGAGTAACCTTGGGCAAATCACTAACTACTCTGGACCTTGACACCTTATCTGTAAAATGAGAGAATTAACCTAGATGGTACCTGAGGGCCCAGCCAGCTTTAGATGCATGATGCCATGATGCTATGATCCCTTCCTTTTGAAATTCTATAGGAATTCAGGGGGTGCACTGATCACAGGCTTAGATGGAGATAGTGGAAGACCTGGAAGGATTCTGCATCAGCTTATCTCCACTTGCTCTCTCCTCAACCTATCTTTACTCCTCTTACTCACCTCATCTAATGGATCCTCTTGTCCCTTGGCTCAATCTCAGTTCTCCAGTGTCCAGAAGATCCAGGGATTTCCATTTTCTTCTTTGTGACTGTCTTGCTGGGGCTGAAAGCACTGTTGCTACTCAACATCTTGACCATCTATATAATAAGGAAAAGAAGAATATAAAGGTGAGTGGACAGTTTTGTCCCATAATGATAAGGTCCAGACTCAGGAAAGAAAACCAGGACCACAGTCACAATTATAGTGAGAAATAGCCAGTCTTTAGGCCTCAGCCATGTCTAGGGGCTTTGACAATGCCCTCTGAAAATGTCTGCTGATCCTCAAAGATATTTTTTAGATGGAGGGATGGTGAGTGGACTGGCCTGTCAGGAAGTAAAAGGAACAGAAGAATTATGATTCCAAGAGTTCTGACATCATCTCCTAAAATCTCCGCCCTGTGTAATACTACATGAGGTCTTAGGAAAAGTGCGGCACCTTCCCTGTTCTTGGAAGCCTTCAGAATGTCCTGATATCTCCCCTGTCAGAGACTCCAGGGCTCAATAAATTACCAGAATGACTTCCTAAAAGATTGAATGATAAAGGGAAGATGAGGTCAGAATGAAATAATCCCAAAATCACAGAATCCTAGAATTTCAAGTCTAGAAGGGATCTTAGAACATAGGATGTCAAACCAGGGAAGGGCCTTAAACTGTACAGCATAAAATTCCAGAGCTAGATGAGACATTCAAAGATAGAACACACAATGATAATCCTGAGAGCAATTTGGTTCATGTCCTTAATTATACAAAGAAGGAAACTGAGGGACATAAAGGATAAATTATTTGTCTGTTAGTGGCAGAGCCGGGACCGAAATTTTTCTCTTCACTGAGAGTACAAGGTGGGCCTAGTAGAATGGGATATTTTTCAATTGGCCAGAAGTAAGAAAAGAAGTAGGAGTGTTTATGGTTGTGAAAGGATAGACAAGATTACACCATTGAATATTAGTGGGAGAGGGACCTGGCCTTCATCTCTCCTCCCTATTTCTAACTACAGCCTCAGGAGCTGCTTCCATCCCCTGCCTCCTCAGCTTGGGCCTCCTTTGGCCTCTAACCTGTGTCCACAGGCTTTGATCCCCCTATTCTAGAACTGCATGTGCCTCCTAGTCTCCCTAGAAAGTGCTTCCCCAAGGAGTCTACCCTGGAATTCAGTGCCGAGTGGGAAGGAGAAGACATAGAGAGGGGTAGGATAAGGAGGTTAGGACAGGACAAGGGCTTTGAAAAATAATTCCTGGAACAGGATCAAGAGGGCTCTAGAGCTCTGATGCTCTAAGCTTTCATGCCTTTACCTTCCCCAGAAGAAGAGGAAAGAACTGGACAGTCCTAGAATCTACAGTGATACTTTCCAAAGACTACAAGAAGATCAGCTCATGCTTCCAGAGATCACAGTTCATGGACCTTCCCCATCAAACCTCTAAGAGGATATTCAGCCCAAGCTCCCTCCCAGAGTTTCCTGTCAGCCTATTCGTTTGTAATTCCTTTTAAAAGTTTATATTGACATATTTCACTTCTACATCACCTTCATTTCTGAATATATCCTTCCTCGTCCATCTATGCAGAAAGCCATTTCCTTGTAAGGTTATTTTTTAAAGAGTGTGTTGGCAGTTTTAAAGAGCGGGTTGGCAAGAAGCAGTTCGACAAAACATATTGACCAAATCTGACAACATGCATTTTGGCATCTTTTCTTCTGGAGCAAGTTTAGTCACTATAATCAAACAGTATTCAGTTTCAGGTTTTCCTTTTTACTTCCATTATTGTAGTCATTAAACAAATATTTCTTTCTGGTTCTGCTTACTTTACTTTGATTCAATTTGTGTGTCTTCCCATGCTTCTCTGAATTCCTCATAATCATAATTTCTTGTGGAATAAAAATATCTATTAGATTCATGTATAGCAATTTCTTTAATCGTCCTCCAAACAACTAACATTTATTTTGCTTCCAGGCCTTTGCAATGGCAAAAAGTGCTGAAAATATTTATATTTTGGTGTATATCTTGGGATCCCCAGGTTGAAGGGTAGTCACTTTCTTAGCATAAATCAAAATTGCTTTCCAGCAATTGGTTGGCCCAATTAATTATCTCAGGCATCTAGTTAGCACATGATGAGGTGGAGTTAAGGACAAAATGGAGTTGGTTTTGGGTGGAAATCAAGAGAATCAATTAGAATCTATGTCATGAACAATGACTCCATCTTGTGCTGCCATGTGTATTCACTTTCATTTTATTGGTTTTTCTAACAGCATTTCTGATACAATGATTTCCCAAATTTCACAATATAAGAGAATTTAGCAATGTGATAATAGCATACACAATATCATGTGTTTAAAACATGAAACAAAACTTCTTGCTAGTCAGATGACATCAGTTCAGCTCAATGCATTTCCAAATTATCTTACATAGAAAATCATTCATTTTATCATCACCTTTGGCATTTTATACTAATCGTATCTAAAACCTGGTATACAGTTACATTCAATTAAAGAAATAAAAATAAAAACACTGTATATAATTATAACATAATATAACACTATATAGTCAACATTTATATAGTGCTTAACATATGCCAGTCATTGTGATAAACACTTCACAATCATTATATCATTTTGATCCTCATAGTAACCCTGGGAGGTGGATACCATTATTATTTTCCTCTTTACAGATCAGGAAACTGAGGTAAACAGAGCTGAGATATCTTGCTTAAGATCACACAGCTAATACATTTCTAAGACCAGCAGTCCCTCCTCAATGACTCCTCTACAGTGTAAATCATCCTTTCCATTCCTTAATTAAATTGTACTCCTTTTTAAGTTGCTCCCTAATTTAAATGACCTTTTCTCTTTTCATGCTCAAGAAAGGGTTAACAGGAGGTGGTATAAAGTTTTAGATAAATTTTAAAATGCAAACTGCGTATTTATTTGTTTTTTCTTCACTCTGGGATTGCTTTCAAATTAGCTGCCTTCCTTCATTATGCTAAGACAATAGTTCTATCAATCTTCAAGGCAGGAAGGAGGGGCTGGAGAGAGGGGTTGATCTAAGTTCTATTTACCCCTAAAACTTTATATTATTTAAATTTCATTATTTAAAAAAAAATCTACACACAATGCATAGAATGTTGGGCCTGGAGTCAGAAAGACCTGAGTTCAAATTCAGTATCACATGCTGGTCATGTAACCCTAGGCAAGTAACTTAACCTCTATTTGCCTCAGTTTCCTCATCTGTAAAATGAGGATGATAATAATAGCATATACTTCCCAGGTTATTGTGAGATTCAAATGAGATAATAATTATAAAGTGCTTAGTGCCTGGCATATAATAAACACTACAAATACATTACCTATTATTAGTGTGCCCATCTTTTCGTAACTCCTCCCACACTAATTATTCCCACTTTTTGTCATCTTTGCCAGTTTGCTGGGTGTGAAACAAAACTCCAGAGTTGCTTTGGTTTGCATTTCTCTTATTATTAGTGATTCGGAGCATTCAAGTTGGAGTATAAGATCTGGGACTAGGCCTGTACTTTTATTGGAATGGGGAACTCCTGAGTGAGGAAAATCCCTCCACTATACAGGTCAGCACCTTCTCTACAATTTATATAGTCTTAATGAGTTGCCTAGCCCTAAAGCAACTCAGAGTTCAAATGGCTCAACCAGTGTCACACAGAGTCAGAGGAACTTGATCCCACATCTTCCTGGCTTTGAGACCAGCTCTCTATCTACTATGCTGTGCTGGCTATTAATAATTTTTCATTCTTTTTTTAAGAACTGCTGGTTCATATCCTTTTATTAGTAATCCACTGAGGAATTATGTCATTTTTTGGGTGATGATGTGATAACCTGCCTAGAGGTTGCTGAGGAACATAAAAGAAACATCTGCAGGGGAGGCATTAGGAAGAGAAGGGAATCATCTCTATAAGATCTCAAAGACTGAGAGCCCTAGAGTAGCCCTGGAGAGGAAAGATGCATGAACTCAAAGGCAGATTGAAGTTCAACAGTTTGAAGTTCATTCAAGTAAGTAATTATCGTAACTGTGATCATGAATGGGATGAATTCACTCATAAAATGGAAGGAGTTAGCAGAATAAATTAGAAAACAAAATACAACAATATGTTGTTTACAAGAAACATACTTGAAACATGAAGATCCACACAGCTGTAAATAAAGGTATGAAATATATTGTGCCTCAGCTAAACACAAAAAAGTCAAGGGTAGCAATTTTGATTTAAGATGAGGTAACAACAAAAATAGACTTAATTAAGAGAAATAAAGAGGAAAATTATATTTTACTGAAAGGTAACATAGATAGTAAGTTAATCCCAATATTTAACATATGTACATATACATATATATACATACATACCCAACAGCATAACTTAGCAATACCTAAAGGGAAAACTAAATTAATTACCAGGAGAAATAGACAATAAAGCTATAATAATGGAGGACCTCAATTTAGCCTTATTCACCTAGATAAATCTAACCAAAAAAATAAACCTGAAAAAAGTTAAGGACCTGAATAGGATGTCAGAAAAGTTAGATTTGATAGTTATCTGATGATTACTGAATGGAAACAGAAAGGAGCATATATAATTCTCAGTTCTATATGGTACTTCTAGAAAAATTGATCATATCTTAAGATAAAAAACTTCAAAACAAATGAAGAAAAGTAAAAACAGTATACACATGTTTACTAATCACAATAAAATGGAAATTACATTAAATAAAGGGTCACTGGAAAAGTATTAAAAATCAACTCGAGATTACTACTAAAGAATTGTTGGGTCAAAGAAGAGATAAACTAAACAATAGAAAATGTAATTAAAAGATGATGATAAAAATGAGAAACCATTTCAAAATTTTACAGATACAGCCAAAGAGTTCTTGGGGAAATTTTATGTTCCTAAACTCTCTTATTAACATAAAAAGAAAGAGCAGATCAATGATTTGGAAATGCAACTAAACGAACAAATTTCAAAGCCTTAATTAAAAACCAAAGTAGAAATCCTGAAAATTAAAGAAGAAATTAACAAAATTGGAAAGAAAAAAATTGAATTGATAAATAAAAGTAGGAACTTTTTTTTAGAGAAAAAAAGATAAACTATTAGCTGAATTAAAAAGACAAGAGAAAAACACATTATCAATATCAAAAAAAGGAAAATTCGCAACAAATGAATAAGAAATAAAACTATATGTCAACAAAACCAACAATTTAAAATAAATAAATGTGTGTTTACAAAAATATAAAGTCCCCAAATTAATATAAGAAGTAGATAATTTAAAAATCCAATTTCAGAGGAAGTTGAACAAGCTATAAATGAACTTCCAAAGAAAAAGATTCTGAGACCAGATGAATTCACAAGTGAATTCCATCAAACATTAAAGAAAAAATTAATTCCAATATTATATAGTTACATAAATTCCTTCTATGATACAGATATGATTTTGATACATAAACCAGGAAGAATCAAAACAGAAAAAGAAAACAATAGACCAATATATGAATATAAATGAAAAAATTTTAAATAAAATATTAGCAAAGAAACTGTAACATATCACAATGATTATACACTATAACTAAATTGGGTACTACTGGGAAGTAGTATCAACAAAAGTCATGATTACATTAATCAAAATGGAAAAAGTTTTTGATAAAATGCAACACTCATTTCTGTTTAAAAAAAAACAAAAAAAAATTTTTTTTTAAATTTTTTAAAAACCACCACTAGATTATTAAAAAATAAATAGACCTTTCCTTAAACATATAGTCACATACATATGTTTATGTGTGTGTGTGTAATTATTTATTTCTAATACACACACACATAAAACTAAGAGTCAGTCAATAAACTGTTGTCATTGCTGTTATTTCTGCTGTCACTACCCAAGGCCATAATGGGGGCTTATTGTCAATTCAGGATTTTAGAGAGGTAGCCTATCCCCTCTTGATAGTTTTCCTCTTCATTGATATGGAATCACCAGCAATACACTCTCCATACAGGTGTTGTGAAGCTAACACAACTTCCTTACTCAAGATTTGAGATGAGATTAGAGTATATGCCATATACAAGTTGACAGTCAAAGATATATGGCATTGTCAACATGCCCAGCTTGCTTCAATTTAGGAAATCAATCAGTCCAGTCACCAGAGTCCTTCCCATTCTCATAACGTGTTATTTCTCCCTAGGTCTGACCTACTTTTTTCCCTAACCCAAAGTACAGCTCTCTTGCTAATGCTTTCCTGGCTTCTAAAATGACAAGTTCCTTCCACTAATAAATTCAACAAATATTTATTGAGTGCTTACTATGAGTAAGACAATGTGCTCTGTGCTGAGTGCAAGGATTAAAGGGGGCACAGATAGAAATCATCAAACAGCTTATCTCCTATTAAAGGAATAGAATATTAGGATATATATACATATATAGAGAGATACATACATACATATATACACATGATACAAGGGTCAGTATGGTAGACACATATAATAGCTAACATCCATATAGCCCTTTTAAGGTTCACAA